AGTTAGAGTTATTTAAAAAAGGTAACTTTAACTATATGACTGAAAAACTTTTACTTTGAAAGTTTTGGTGGCTGAGAAAAATTATATCATTTATTCTACAAATTTATGTTTACCTTACGATTTGAAAAAAGAGAAAACATTACTTTTTTTCATACTACTTTTTCTCATTTTTGATTTGAATTTGTTTTTTGAGTCGAAACGAAGATTGATATCCTTTGACTTATTCACATTTAATTTTATTAACGAAAAGTTTAATTAGGAGCTTGTAAACCTGACAAAGTTGCAAAGACTGTGACCGGTCAGTTAGCAGCAATACCGTAGTCTGTGTCATACATACGGCGTAGTGTCCGTATTCGGGGTCATGGTGCTAATCTTGCAGTCTAAGTTACCACTGCTAATTGACACCTGTCGATGATAGTGAATGATTCACGGTTTGGCTTGACACGCTCTCACTCTCTCGCCTTAGCGGTTGAAAGGTTACGTTGATACCTATCATTTATTTATTAAACCCATTTGTATTTAATTAAATGTCCAATTACTATATTCAATTTACTTTTGTTATGGAAAGTTTTTACTTGTTTTAGTTCAGTGTTTCTAGTAATATCTCATGGCGCAGCTAGCAGTCGCATAATGTGATGACAGAACAGAATCAAACTTCAACTTTCCAATATTTCCACAACAAAAGCTGTGAAATTGTATTATGAAAATACCTTCCACACTCTGTGAAATTGTATGATAGGCATATTTCCTTAAATAAAAATGTGCATTAAAAATTAAATCAAAATTATGTGTTTTTATCCAAAAACACAATAATTATAGTTTTCTATCAAAAGAAAACCAGGTTGCTAGTGGCAGTTACTGCGCAGGTAAACTGCATTTGGCAAATTCACCATGTGTATTGTCAGTTAGAGTTATATATAAAACGAGGCCTCTTTATTTATATGGCTGAAAATTTTTACTTAGAAAGTTTTGGTGGTTGAGAAAAAGTATATTTTTGTTCTACAAATTTATGTTTATTTTACAATTTGAAAAAAGTACTTGCTTGTATTTTTCAAAAGTTTTGAGTAGAAAACTCAACCAATTTTTGTTATAGACACAAAATATAACGAAATTATAACACGAATTTTCGCAAAAGTTTAATTGAACAAAAATACAAGTTTGCTATCAAAAAAATGATAAATAATAAATTGCAACAAAATTTTGTTTCTTTTTTGGGAAAAGTGCATATCATACAATTTTCATAGACAAAACTGTTTCATGAAATTTTTTTTTGTTCAAAATTTTGTTTTGATGCCGAATATGCTCTCATTTGCTCGAGTTAAAAGATTAGAGAAACTGACACTAATTAGTAATTTTTGAATTCCGAACCAAACTAAAGTAAATTTCAAAACAATACCATTGAAAAAAACTGCTTATTATACAATTTTTAAATATGAAAATTGCTTGATAAGCATATTATCTATAAATTTTGTGTAGGAAATTGTATGAAGAGCATTTTTTTGTTGATATCTCAAACGGGGAAAATATAACGCATGAGAGTTATCAACCCAACATATTCTTATTCTTAGGAAATTTATTAACTAAAAAAATTTAAAAAAGAAAACATTGAATTTTTAAAATTAATCTCCAAAAATATTTCACCCACGTGCTGTGTAAATTACCATACCATATAAGCATTTTAACTGAAAGTTCCATATAAATTGCCACAGAAAAATTGATCGGAACGATTTCTTAGACGGATTAAAGCGCCGCTAAGACGTGAATAGGACAAAAAAATCGCTCGTTAATTGGCCCAAGTTGGCCGATTTAGTCAAGTTTTTCGAGTGTTTACAGGTCCCGATTACATTGCGCTGACGCGGTCTCCGTAAATATTTGCACTCCCGGAGGAAACTCTTGGTGCGAAAAATTTTTCAAAAAAAAATTGAAACGGTGGCAAATTCCAACTCATGATTAAAAAATCACCGGATTTTTATCAGAGTTTTGGTTGATACAATGAATGACTTTTGAGAAGGTGACAAGTCAATACAAGGCATTGCAGAAAATTCCGGAAAAAAAACGATAAAATTTAAAGAAACTCTCTGAAATTGAGTAAAAAAGACAAAATTTTCTTTTCAAATTGTAATATTTTGAGGTAATTTTGGGCGTAAACAACTCTACTTTTTTCTCAAACAACGTCTGGACTTAACTAAAAAAACCGCCCTAAATATACAAAAAATGATAACAATTGAGAAGTCACGTCAAAGTCTAAGCTGAAAATCATAAAAATAACTTTTTATAAATAAAGTTCATCGTAAATAAGTCAGGCATTTCATTCTTAGTTTCGATTCATTAAACAACTCAAAACTTTCTGACCAATCTTTTTCATATTCAATTTGAAATTGTTTATTGAGTCGAAACTAAGATTGATATCCTTTGACATATTCACGATTAAATTTACTGATGTATAGTTTTGTTATGAGTTTTGTAAACGTGACAAAAGCGCATAGACTGTGACCAGTCAATACGCAGCAATACCGTAGTCTGTGTTATACATACGGCGTAGTATCCGTATTCAAGGTCACGGTGCTAATCTTGCAGTCTAAATTACCACTGCTAATTGACACCTGTCAATGATTGTGAATGATTCACGGTTTAGCTTGACACGCCCTCACTCTCTCGTCTGAGCGGTTGAAAGATTACGGCTGATAATATCAATTAATTATTAAACCATTTTGTAACTAATTCAATATCCAGTTTTTTTATACAATTTGATATTTTTATAGAGAGTATTAACTTAGTTTGGTTCAGTACTTCTAGGGATATCTCATGGCGCAGCCATCAGTAAACAATCTGATAACCTGTATTATTGGGAGAACCTGTATTCTGGGTAAAAGTATTTGCAGAACCCCCGTTTCCGTGGGGAACATGGATAGGCCAGTTATATCTGGCAAAATCTCTCACAGAAGGTTGTGACGCTAACGTTCTACTATCAGATCCAGATCCTGTTTTTGATGATCTACCACCAAATACAGAATAAATACAAGCTTCAGAAACACCGGAAGAAACGAATACAAAAATCGAATAATAGAACAGCACGAAACGCAGAAGTCACGGAGAGAAATTCTGAAAGGAGAAGACAAGGACCAAAATCGGCTCAATCCTGTATTACCACAAAGCGGATAACCGGGTAAATTCAGGCTCTTTTTACCCCCGGAGCCGAAAGGAAGAAAATATTTCTCCAGCACAGCAAATTCCCACACAAACCTGAAAACAATAAATTTCAAATTTTTTTTAACTTGTGCGAGTTACTTTTCAGGAGAGAGAAAAACTTTATTGTAGAAAGAATGCAACTTTACAACGCGCAGAAGTTTTGTATCTTCGATTATCCGGGCAAGCGGCAAAATGCGGTTGAATTTAAATTCTTGAAAAGGAAGTAATACGTGATATTTTTATTGCCAAGATTTTTGCATTAGACCAGGCAACACCGTTGATGACACCCTAAAAGCAGCGCTACTACACGAAAAAGGATACGCTACGGCTAACGTGTTGCAAAGGCAAAACAGATTCGGAGGTGAGAATTCGAATCAAAAATTTTTCCAGGTGAAACAAGAGCCCACTATGTCCATCCAATCGAAGAAAAACTTTCAAAGTAGGATGAACCGAGCACCGATAGTTCCTCAAAACCATGTTATTTTAGTATTGTATTTATGGTCACTGTGCTAATCTTGCAGTCCAAGTTACCACTGCTAAATGACACCTGTCAATGATAGTGACGGATTCACGGTTTAGCTTGACACGATCTCACTCTCTCGCCTTAGCGGTTGAAAGATTACGGTTGATATTATCATTTATTTATTTAACCAATTTGTAACTACTTCAAAATCCAATTTCTATACAATTTCTATATACAACTTTTGTTATGGAAAGTCTTAACTTAGTTTAGTTCAGTACTTCTAGGGATATCTCAGGCTGTAAACATAGATCAACCGATGACCTAGAATGCGGTCTGTATCGTATGATACTCCCTTTGGAATTTCAAACATTTAAACAGGGTACTTATTGTCAAAATTAGTGTAAGTTCAGAAATTAATTTTCTGTTTTGTCTCCTTTCTTCCTTGCTTTTGCATTTGTTTTGGCTTGGTGATGGCTCATTTCACAGTTGAATTTCCGTCTTTTGCGAACGCCAAGGATTCGCAAGCCAGCTTTGGCGAGACAGGCTGAGATAATTCTCCTGGTACCAATTGGTCCTCTACCATCTTCACTGCATGTCTGATTGGGCTTCCGAAAAACCTTGTCTCTTACTCCTATTGGATGCCCTGGTAGACAACAGTGACTCTTGTGGAATCTCGATTGGAGGAGATTCTTGTTGAGCGGAGTTTTCGCAGGGTACCCTGTGGGTCTCTTTCTGACCTTTTAGACTTAGATGGGCACCAAATGGCTGGCTACTGCTGGAGCATAAGCTAGAATAGAATATCTTCGGGCTTCGTATGACCTAAAAGCGTCAATTTTTTTTGTAAATGGCATGAAAAACTTTATTCAAAAACGCTTATTGAAGAAGTTGAAATTCCGTCTGAGGAAAAACAACACTCCCGTGCGCAAATTTTTTTTTCGAAGTCCGCACAAAAAGTTTTCAATGGAATGAATAACCGTGTTTTCTGAAGTAATTAATGTAGTAATGAAAGTTCGTTCTGAAACTTTTCAAATTACCTTACTTAGAACTCTTGATGGTACTGAAAATTTGTAGTATTTTTGTCATAAACATTCATTAAGTAACCAAAAAACGCCTGCTTGGGGTATTTTGCTTCATTTTAACGGTCTCTTTATCCATCTGTACAAAACATCGAACACCTTGTTGCACATGAGTAGAGTATTCTCACTGGGTCTAGTGTTTTACGGAGGCAGTCGATAAATCTGTACAAGAATTTAGTACATGACGCAGATAAACCAATAATCCGAAAAAAAAACTTTGAAAAAAATAGCGGTCAGACTAATCTCAACACATCTATTGGCGCTTGAAAACATTTCTTTTCAAAGATTTTTGATCTATCTATTTTACTAGCATTGGAAATAACGCGATAAAAAATTATGAATTGTTTTATTGCTGATTTATAGACAAAATAAACTTCCAATAAAAATGATTGATTTATGTTACTATGATCATTTACAAAGTGAAAATGTTAGCAAATCTGTCGCTTATAGCTTAAAACTCCGGAATTTTGGATAATGTGACTGGCTTTTCCTCGACGTCTATAAAACTGAAAGAAGTCTCTTCAATTGAAAAAAGATTGGAAGGCGAGTCGGTTCTAGGTTCGTTGACTCTGCTCGGGTTTTCACCCGACTCAGTTGCTGGTCGCAATTCACTAGGCGTGAAAATGACGTCGCCGAACTTTCGATCCTCAAATTGGTCTTCGGTTTCATGTTGGCTCGAGCCTGAAAGCGTATCTTGTGGAATCGAGAGCTGAACTGGCTTCATAGGCTCTGGAGGGCGGTTCGATCCCGTGCCATGCCATGTTTCGTCCCCATTTTCAACCTGGTCATTCTGGTCGGAAGCTCTCGGAACTTTTGGACTTTCGGTTTCGACTTTTTGCTTGACAAGAACTTTTTTGGCTGACTTGCGTTCGGATGATGACGAATCTTGTGACAGATTACTCGACTTTGATTGGTTCAGAACTTCATTTGGAACAATGGAATCACGGGACAATAAGACTTCATCACCGTCGGGCGCGCTTTCGACCGTTGCTTGTGCCGTTATTGTTTCGTTCGGTTTTTGACTTTGGCCGAGATTCAAATTGACGCGCAGTTGTCGTTTGGCGCTCCTGATATTGTCGGCAACTTGCATAATTTGGTCATCTAGCTTCTTTAGCTTAGTTTGCATCGACAATGCCTCCATAATCATATCTGATCTAATGTCTAGTAAGCTTTTAACCAAAGGATCACATTCGCCGAACGATTTCAACTTTTCTTGTAAATTACGTGGGTTGTAAGTGATAATTTCAGCTGAAATTTCTTCTTCGCCGCCTATTCGCACTGTTTTTTGTCCCGAACTTGAGGCTACTTTTCCTGCGTTTCCAGATTTGGTTAAGGTTGCACTTTTTTCGTCATCAGTGTCCAAAGAGCTTTCACGTTTGTTCGCAATTTTATCCCACATACTTTTCTTCTTATTTTTTGACAAGTGGTTTACAGGGGAGGAGTTTTCCTCGGCGTGGAGTTTGCTGCCGCTGATTTTCCTCTGCGAAGGAATGACCTTGAAAATGCTGCTGTTGTTGCTGGCTGTGAGGAGGTGTGAACTGTGGCCTATGGAGTGGCTCTTGTTGTCCCTCTTCTTGAGAGCTGATGCCAGCGAGGGTCGTCTGGAATCGCTTATTTTGTGGTTAACGGAAGGAAGCGCACCTGTTGAATAGAAAACACAGAGTAAAAATTAATCAACTCAAAACTTCTTTTTCACATAAACATTTCAGTTTGAGCCAATTTTTGATTCAACAGATTTGTATTATAATTGTTTCCTTTTTCATTTGGAAATTCCTGTTTTTTGTTTGAGCCAATCAATTGAATTAGAGCTCCTTAAAGCCAAGATGAAAATTTCATATTTGTGATTGCTGAAAACATTCAGTTTGAACAGAAAACAGGTACCATTCTGCTTTGGAATATGTCTCTCAGACGATGTATGTCCATGACCCCCTACATCTGAGGCAGAGGTTGGGGTGGGGGAGGGAGTGGCCGAGGGCAAGATGTTGATGGAGTCCTCATTGGGCACCTTGCCCCTGAATCGGGAGAACAACTTCCTCACGGGGTGGTCCGCGGGTAGATCCACCGCCGTCTCCTTCCTAGCCGCCATCTCCTGCTCCTTGCGAAGATCTGCAATAGTCTTGAAGCGAACCTGCAATCAGAAACAGACCGCATAAATACATTCTGCTCTGTAGACATGGATCGAAACCGGGCATGTTTAGCTTCTGTCCTTTAGGGATGTTAGATCTGTGCCCATCGTTAAGACCTACTCTTCTTTTTCAGTTTTTCGAAATTTTGGATATTTGCTGTTCCTTTAAACAATGTGAATACTTTTGGGCAATTCTACGCACTGCATGAGTAAATTAGGTTTAAAAAGCTGTTGGGTGTTCTAATTTATGCAATATTCGATTATGAATTAATTTTCTGATTCTGCGCATGAATGAAACTTTAAAAAAAAGCAAAATAAACTAATGGCGTCTGCATGAGTTCAAACCCACGCGTTTTTAATTTCAGTCAATAAAAAAACTAAGAAACATGTAAAATTAGACGGTAAACCTAATCATATTAGCTCAAAACAAGTAAAAAGGCAACAACAAAAGATAAAGACTGCTTGAAGCAGATTCGTTTGATTGACATGTATTAGTACTCAAGTCCGCAATCAAATGATTAAAAAAATGTTTAATCAGACTAAAAAGCCTCAAATTCTAAAACGCCATTGAAAACAGTTTGACGTCTTTTTGACAATGAATCTTAACAAAATGATTCAAAAAGGTTTTTTTTTGTGAAAAAAAAAAACAGATTTGAGCTAATTGAGCTAAAAAGATTCGAGCAAAAAAGATTTGAGCTGAAAAAGATTTATTGAATTCTTTAAACCCAGGGGCAGATCTAGGATTTTCTTGAGGGGGGGGGGGCGGATTTTCAAAATTTTTTTTTTAATTTTGTCCACCTTTTTTTAGGTCGACCAAATTGATTTTCCGAGTTCTCTCAAAGCGGTAAAAAGACCGTTTTGGTAAAATTTTCTGCGCCGCAGGCAAAGTTTTGAAATACAGGCAAAAAAAGCGTTTTCAGGCACTTTTTGAAAATTTTGACCAAAAAACGCGTTTTTTTTTTGTCGCGCGTTTCCCCCTCGAAATTAGTTTTTATTGGCACCGAAGGGGCCTTTAGAAAAATTTTAGGAAATGTCACCAAAAAAGGATATCTCAAAATAGTACAAAGGAAGACCCAAAGCCAATCCCCCCCCCCCCCCCTAAATCCTCCCACCCAAAGCTCCCCCCCCCCCCCAAAATCCTCCCCTGTTTAAATCAGATTCTAATAAACAAAGTTTCAGCTTCTTGTTAGCAAAACTAACACGATTAAAAACTATTTTCGTATCAATAGAAAATGGCAACACTATTCATGAATTAATATTCAAATGAATCTGAAAAGGCTGCGAATGACAAGAATTGGTTGGTTGATGTCTTTTTTTCGAAGGATGTCCTTTAACTGGGTGACATGCAGTAACTTAGACAGAACACAAATTAGCTTAGATGTCAGTAATGAAACAAAATTTGATCATTATTTTTTTTGCAAAACTGGCATGTGGGGTGAAAAGCAAAGGCTACCAAAACTTGCCTAAGACAAAATTTCGCAAAAACAAAAAGACTGTATAATGCCGTTGCGTATCAAAATATTTTTTATAAAGCATTAATTCGAATATTATAAAATCTTTTGGAAATCATTAATTTTATATATATTTTATCTGGAAAACTCCTTCAGAAAAAAAGAACCAAATGAATTTTATAAAACAATTGTGCAGTTGGATATTTCAAGCTAATTCACGCGTTTGCAAGACAAAAATGCCATTTTTTTAAATACTAACAATGCCAAACAACTGTGCTCTGAATATGTTTTTTTTCACGCTGTTCAAATTTCAGCTTTTTTGTGGAAATCATCCCCCCACATGCCATATAAAGTACAACGTGATAGATTTTGCTCCTAGTAACAAACCAACTATGGCAAATAAGCTTCCTTCGACCAATCTGTAACGATTTCAAAGACGGATTTAATCTCCGCTTACGCGTTTATCGCGAGAAATATATCGCGCGTTAAATGTCCAAAATGCCAATCGTTAAACCCCCATATCTATACGAAAAATGATCACCGGTAAAATATCTTTTCAAATTTAAGCTCAAGACAACAAAAATTACTGAATGATATTAAAAAATTTTGTCAAAAATATCTAGTTAAAAAGTCGAAACTTGTCTGAAGAAAAAACCCACCCCGAGCATAAATATTCCGTTACTTTTGTAACGAAAGTCGGAAAAAAACTCGATATAGTAGGCAGCGACCTGGGCACCAAAATCAATTCGTGGTTTTGTAGCTGGTTTGTGTCTAATTTCATTCAAGAAAAATCAGTGTGTATGGCTGCAATGAGTTATCAATTATGTTTTGCTGTAGCTCTCAATGAGCTATTATTACGACTTTCGAAGAAAATGACAGAATATTTGTGCCCTGAGCGTTTTTTTTCTCAAGACAAAATTCGACTTTTAAATAGCAATTTTGACAATTGTTTTATACCATTCGAAAAATACTGTTGTCCTCAGTTCAATTAAAATAGAATTGACTGTGATAACTTTTCCTAAAAGTATAGAGGTTAAGAGATGGTCAGTTTGATCAATTTTGGACAAAAACGCGCGATATATCTCGTGCTTTAAACATGTGAGCGGAGATCTAATCCGGGTTAGAAATTGTACCAAGTTTTGAAAATTTCATCATTTATTTCAATTTAATTACTCCATAGAAGTTAAAACGCAGTCGGAACACTCACGGCTTCCCCCTGATATGAGTTTTGTTTATGATTTGGTAGAGTTGCTTACACTGTTAAATTATACTGCTGAATTAGGGATGATCATGGTCGCGAACCAATCTGTTTGAATTTTTTTTTTTGATAAAACAAAGCCAAGTTGAGAAAACATGATTTTTTCCGGTCCCGAATCTAAATCTTGAGTGTCAGTTTTGACAAATAGCTGTACGTTATTTGGTTAAAAAAATGACGGCAATAATTTTTTAGGGGCGTTTTTGATACAGTCTGCTAGATCTTGTGAGAAAATAGTTCAGGCGAAAAATATTTTTATTCTGTCCTAAGCGATGAAAAGGACCATTTTCTCTATTGCTGATATTCAAAAAAGCAAGCTAAGAATTTTTTTCATTTAATGAGCAAGTTTTCAATAAATACACTTAATTTTTGGTTTTAATTTTGAAAAGGATATCCATCTGAGCTAAAATATTTTAACGCGAGGGTTTTTATATCAAAATCAGGTTAACTAGTTATTTAAAAGACTATTTCCAATTTCATAGAAAACATCCACCCATCAAAGTCAAATAAGCTTTATCTTCAGCAAAGCTCTGAATGTTTCCTTTGTCTTCTCAATAGTCTCGAATAACTTCAGGTAAATTGGTGAAGAAAACCTGATATATTTTAATTTTTTGACAGCCAAAAACCAATACGATGTGGTATACTCGAGTCGTGTCGAAAATTATAATCACAATTAGCTTGCCCCAATATGAAACAACTTTGAGCGCGAGATAATTCGACGCGCAAAAGTAAGAGTTAGCCTTTCAACCTCATAGATAAAATCTATGGAAACCCAAAACTTGCTAAAAACTCTAATAAGAAGTTTCGAAATTGGTATGAACTAAAAAGTTAACCAAAACAGGTATTCCGTAACTTTCTTTAAAACTTGGAACCAAAAGAACATCTCAAACTAAATAAGTGATAATTCACTTCGTTAGCAGCACTCAAAAATTTTTCGTGCACGCGCGCCACTTTTTAAGATTAATATACCGCGCACTTTAATTCAGAATGTGAACTGGGCTTGTGGCCAGCAAATGCATTTAAATTGCATTCAAGTTCAAAAATGTAAATGAAAAAGCAAAATGTTGTCGGATAAAGTTTTCGTGCATTCGGTCCTTCGCACATGAGGGGGGACTTCTGTTACCTACCCTGTGTCTGAGGTTGAATGCGAGCACTAGGTTGCGGGAGAAAGAGGTAGCGAATGACTCATAGAAGCGGAGGATCTCGACCAGTGCCTCCCTGGATATGATGTGCAGATCAGTGTAGGTGAGAGCCCGCACATTCACAGCACTCTGGCCCACATTCGACTCCAGCCAGAACTTGTCCCCAATCACATCCCCTTTGCCTGCAAAGTTACAATCGATGCTCAAAAATATTTAGTAGCTCAATTCAAAATCTGTAGCCAATTTGAACCAACGTCAAACGAAGTTTATGAATAGCTTATACCAGAAGCTTATGAATAGTTTTCGAAAAACTTTTATTAGGAGCCTGCGAGAAAAGAAGAGCGTCTATTAGACAATAAATAGAAATTTTAGTTGACTTTAAAATCCAATTTGAATTTTTTTGGTGACGTCAATTTTCAGGGAACTTCGTGCGAATTCCAGGAGTCTTGGAGTGAATTGAAAAAGACTGAATTTATGCTACAGGACTAACCCAGTATGGCCACGACCTCATCGTCTTGTATGACTTCTAGTGACCCACTGGCAATGAAGCACAGTTCCTCTATGCTCTCCCCAGTGTGGAACAGGAGGTCGCCCGGGGCACTGTGGTGCATCTCGAAGTTGATGGCCAGTGCCCGCAGACACCCCTCCGAGGCCAGGCGGAAGGCGGGGTGCTCCCGCAGAATGTGTCTGTTCAGGTGGATACTCAGGTCTGCTCGCATGTCTTTGGGTGTGTAATTCATCACCTGCACACCAAATCAATCAAGTTGTATTTTAGAGGCAACATTTTTTGAAAATAAGGATTGTTTGCTGAGGTTATGGAAAAAAATTGGCCTAAACTATAAAATTATCAATTCAATTTTTGAGAAAATTAGGTGAAACACTAGAGTTCTTTCAGTTTTTGACCTGGCAGATCGTTTTTTTGTCCTACTGTTATTTCTAGATAAACAAAATAGTAAAATTATATTAAAAAAAGCAATCGGCCCAAGCGGGTCTCGAACTGACTTTGTCGGTGTTGACTCCTTTGGTCATGGCCCAGGTGGACACTACATAGTCCATGACTCTCTCTGCCAGATCCTTGGGCACCTGGTACAACTTCATGAACTCGCGAATGTCATTCAACATCTCGTGGTACCTGAATTAGGGACATTGTTCCGAGCCAAAGCAAGACTAAAACGCTATTCATTAGCAAAAAGACAACTTTACAAGGCACAACTCGTAACGCTTTTTGGAACTTTTAACGTCATTAGCCTCATTTTCAAAATTTCATATATGAGCGAGGTCTTTTTTTTGGATATCGGAGCGGGTGTGCGTTCCATGGAAAATTTCGCTTGCTTCTCAATTTGACCATTCCTATTTTCCCGGTTCAATTACTAGTTTCCTCTAATTGTGTTGATAACAAATGAATAATGATTAATGATAACAAATAAATAATAAATTGTTTAAAATCTGCTCCAGTTTGTTCTGACCTTGTGGACTGTGAGCTCATCTGCTGGAACATGGTGGTGACATTACCAAATATGGTAGCGTACAGGAGAGACCCGACGAACATGAGTATGATGCAGAATATCTTCTCCGAGTTGGTGTTGCCGGCTATGTTTCCGAACCCGATGGAGGTCATGCTGCTCATGGTGAAGTAGAGGGAGGAGACGTAGGATGTGAACACTATCGAGGAGTTGAGCGAGGCTGACCCATCCCACCTACTCTGGTTACCCCCGGCTGCACAAAAACACAACAAGTACAACACACTATTTTTGGCAGATAATAATTTTCAAGCTCTCTCCAGCTTGAACTTGGTCAAAAAACTGATTTTCCGTTCAAATTGATTCTAAAACCAACTTGCAAAAAGAAGAATAGAGCAAATCGCTGAAAAAAATTTCCTTGAACACTTAAAAAAGACTTATGCTCAAAGAAGTCATCTTTGTTTTGCTGTCTATAACAAATGTTTTTTTTTTGTTATACAGACCAGTCATAAATGTTCAAGTCTCCTATGCTGGATAAATAGAGACTTGTGGGTTTGCGGTAATTTTTTTCAAAAGTTTTTGAAAAAAAAACGGTTTTAAACTGTTTTGATGATAACTTTATGTTTCAAGATTGCAATTTAAAAATACATAGCTTTAGAGGCTTGATCCTTCCTGTTTAAAAAGATAGCTTTAGAGGCTTGCTTCTGCTCTCCCGATTGAAAAAACGTGTCGTATGATAGCCGAAAATTTTTAATGTGAAGATTTTAATAAAAGTTCTGTCCTCATGTCCGTAGCGGATTCTTCGCAGCTTAAGTAGAATGGGAAAACAAAAGTGAGAAATATAACTGCCATTAATGAATAATTTGCATCAACTGCAGGTTCAAAAAATAAAAGATAATTTGCTTTTATTTTTTTCCAACGTGGTCATGAAATAAATCCACAAATCTCTTTTGAAAATCCATCTGCCAATTTGAAAATTAAATATTGGATCAAATCGAATTATATGTTCGTTAATTTGCACTTCGTTTTAAATACTTTTTATAAAAAATGAAGAAAATTGCAGGTTACTTCTTTGTTGTATTTTTTGGCTCACTTCTAGTTCTAATTTTTGTTCAAGATATTATAGCTGTTATTCAAAAAGCAAAAGTTATAAGTTCGTCAATTCAATTTTTGGAAATACCGAATCAAATCTACCAGGAGAGCATTGTGACCATACGAGCTTTTGATTTGTGTACCAATTTATCTGTTCCGCTTCTGAAATATTGTGAATGTCGAATAATATCTTTCAAAAACAGCAGTTTTAACGAACAATGTTTCGCAAAAAATATCACCATTCCTCATCCATACGAGCACATTAATGGGTCCATGCTCATTTTCTACAGGCATGTAACTATGATTCTGAACGCAAGAAGTCAAGCCCGAGCTGATTATCTCAATTTAACTTGCACAACTGAAAATGTTGTTTTCATTCAGCATATAACGGTTCCAGTAACTTGGGAGGAACTTGTAGATCTGTTTTTGCTAAACGACCGTGAAGAGGCTATAGAACAATATCTGTTTTACGCACAACTGTTTGAAGACAGACCGAACGACTTGGTGTCAGGTGGACACAGGTATTAGCTATTTGTTGAGTCATTTTGAAATTACCCGCTAAAACCTGGAACTAGCCACAAGACCAAAGTTTTGTGGTATTTGTTTGAATTTATAAAGCATAAACTGGGGGTGTTTCAGCAAATCTATAAACCTTCTGGATGTTTTTCAGCCATATCGTTGCTATGCTCATGCATTTCTGTGTCTATAACTGTTATAGAAAGTTGCAAAATGTTGGAACAGACAAGATTAATTAAAAAGAAAAAATGACCTATTTCAGAAGTTTTGCACACTAAAGCTAATTTTTCAGACCGAAATATGTCTCAAGGTCACGTAAAATTCCGAACTTCTTTGCAAAAGTTGCTCAAAACTAGCAGATTGCTCTTTCTTATTATTTGTATCTGTTCCAGCTTTTGCTACTAATTATATAATTAGTATAATTAGTAGAAAAAGGTTCGGACAGACAAAAATAATTAAAAAGAGCAAATTAACTTTTTCAGACAACTTTTGCATGCAAAAACGAATTTTTCAGACAGAAAAGAATGTCTCAATGTCAGCAAAAATTCATATTTGAATGCAAAATTTGTTCAAAATTGGCAGATTGCTCTTTTTAATCGTTTCTGTCTGTCCGAACTTTTTGCAACTATCAATAGCACAAAGTTCGGACAGACAGATTTAATTAAATGAGCAATCAGTTCTTTTCGATCGCCAATTATCGATGATTATGCTAGCTTATTTTTTTAAATACTGCGATGAACATCCAGTTTTTACTATAATTAGTAGCAAAAAGTTCGGACAGACAGAATTAATTAAAGTGAGCAATCAGTGCTTTTTGACGTTTTTTTGCATGCAAAATCTGAAGACGAACAACCTTGAATTTTTTGTCAGGCCAAATTCAAGATGCGAGATCTTCGGATATCCGAAGATTATGCTAGCCTAATTTTTAAATACTGCAATGAACATCCAGGTTTTACTATAGAACAGTTAGCAAAGTTAGTTAAAAAACGAAACACAGAAAAAAAAAACAGATTAGGCTGCACCAAAAAAACAAACGGCAATGAAGATGATCAAATCATTTAAAATTTTGAAACTAATCGCAGAAAAACGATAGCCACCCTGAGCAGTAATTTTCCTGTTTCAAGGTTTACTATTCGACGCTTCGGATGCAATTGCCCGCCGTGGTTATAATTTTCGAGCAAAACTCTGCTTTATTAACTTTCGACGTTATGTTTATTTCAGTGTTAATTTCCGTTGATGTCTAGACAGTTGCTCTTTTTAATTAAGTCTGTCTGTCCGAACTTTTTGCAACTCTCTATATAAAACAGTTGGCAAAATTAGTTCGAACATCGAAATCTAAAGTTATTTTCAACAATAAGAAACAGATTAGGCCACCCCCCCCCCCCCCAAAGAAACTGAAGTGAAGATGATCAAATCATTCAAAATTTGGAAACTAATTGCAGAGAAACATGAGCCACCCTGAGTAATAATTTTTTCTGTTTCAATGTTTACTATTCGATGCTTCGGTTGCAATTGCCCGCCGTGGTTATTGTTTTGAGCAAACTCTGCTCTATGAACTCGACGCAATGCTTATTGTTCCGACTTTAGATACGAAAGTTACGAAATATTTGTGCTCGGGGTGGGTTTTTTTTTCTTCAGACAAATTTCGACTTTTCAACTAGCCATTTTTGACGGAACTTTTTTTATATCATTCGAAAGGTATTGTTGTCCTGAGCTCAAATTCGAAAAGATATTTTACCTGTGATCATTTTTCGTAATGTTACGCGGGTTTAAAGATTGCCATTTTTGCCAATTTGGAACAGTTAACGCGCGATATATTTCGCGCTATTCACGCGTAAGCGTAGAGTTAATCCGTCTTAGAAATCGTTCCAAATTGGTTAAAGAAGCTTATTTACCATAATTGGTTTGTTACAAGGAGCAAAATCTATCCTTTTGTACTTTATATGGCGATGATAGAATTGGCGATAAAAAATTTCACATTTTAGGAAAAAAGTTTTCTTTTGTTTTATTTCATTGAATTGTTTAATGTTAGTACTGCTCCATAAACCTTAAAAGGCAGTCGGAACATTCAGGGCTTCGCCCTGATACGAGCAGTCTTGTTTTAAGTTTTAGTTTCGGTTGATGTCTAATCAGTTGCTCTTTTTAATTAACTGTGTCTGTCCGAGCTTTTTGCAATTCTCTATAACAAACTTTTTCGACTACAACTTATCTTCGAAATAATTTTGACCTTCAAACTGAAACAGCATATCTACGAACATTCAAGAAGCCATATCTTTGATATGCTAATTTTTTTTGTGAACCTATTTTTTTTAAACAAAAAATATTCGACCACGTTTCATCTTTGAAATATAGTTAATAGCAAATTGCAACATCTTTTCAGTCAACGAATCTTAACGAAGTTAATTAGCCTAAAACTAATCATTTTGTCGTCTAATTTTAGCTTTTTCCTGATTTTCATACGTTAATACGGTTTTCGAAAACCTAACAAGACTGCCCGTATCAGGGCGAAGCCCTGAATGTTCCGACCGTCTATTCAGGTTTATGGAGCAGTAATAACATTAAAAAATAAAAAAATGAAATTTTTTTTCTAAAATTTGAAATTTTTAAATAAAAATCATCACCCCACACGCCATATAAAGTACAAAAACGCCATATAAAGTACAAAAGGATAGATTTCGCTACTTGTAACACATCATTTTTGGCAAATAAGCTTCGTTAAATCAATTTGGAACGATTTCTAAGACGGATTAAATCTCGCTTACGCGTTAATAGCGCGAAATATATCGCGCGTTAATTGTCCCAAATTGGCCAAAATGGCAACCTTTAAACCCACATAACTTTAGTCCCACAAATTTGAGCTCAGTATAACAATATCTTTCGAATGATATAAAAAAATGCCGTCAAAAATGGCTAGTTAAAAGGTCGAAACTTGTCTGAAGAAAAAAAACCCACCCCGAGCATAAATATTCCGTTACTTTTGTTACGAAAGTCGGAACAATTAACCTAAATTGCAATAGTTTTGACCAATTAAACTGTTCAAGGTCACCGATATTGCCCACAGTTTGGCTTTAGTTGTAATTTTGTTCTTCAAAAGGAAACAATTCGAAATAGACCTTTCAATTATTGCTCTCACTGTCTCAAGGCCAGAATTATTACGGTAATTTAACTGTCCAATAAGTTTGTGAAGATCTAAAATCTGCTTTAATTCGAAGTAATTACGAAGTTGTTTTTTGAATAAGTTTAAGAAAATCAGGCTTTTCTTTTTTTATGTTCGTAGAGCTCTGACAACTTTCTCTGAGAAGCATTTTGCCGATAAAAATGGAATTGTGGGACCTTTAGGTCGTCTCATTTACTCAGAAACGTCGTCGACATTCGGTGGAAACGGACTGATAACCGAGATGATATTCACTTACTCTTCAACGACTTACGAGTTGATTTCAGTTTTGCACAACTACAACTATATGGGAATTCTGAGAATAATTGCTACTTTTCTTCTGACGTCAGAAAAAATCTACTCTATGTACAGACGGTTTGTGGCTACTTAATAGAAACTCGCATCCATGAAAGGGGATGTTCCGATGAAAAGAATGTCCAAATTGCAGAAAAAAAACCGATTAGTCAGAACTTATAAGAACTTATAGATAGTGT